TTTGCTAATAGTTGATAATGCCCCCAAATACCCTCCTTTTATTGGTGATCTTCATCCCAATATCAAAGTGGTATTTCGCCCTCCAAACTTCACCTCTTTGACTCAACCAATGGATTAAGGAGTTACAACAGCTTTTAAGACCTACTACTTGAGAAAGACCTTTGCTCAGGCTATTGCTGCAACTCACAAAGACACTAAGAAGACAACAATGCAATTCTGGAAGGAACACAACATATATGATGACATCAAGAACCTGGCTTGGACATGGGGTCATGTCACCAAGGAGTATATGAACAGCATCTGGAAGAAGATGCTCAGAATTTTTTCCATGACTTCAAAGTATTTTCCAAGGATAAGGAGATTACAAAAATCAACAAAGCTGTGGTTGAGCTGGAAAACAACTTCAACCTGGGTGTGGGTTAGGATGCCATTAAGAAATTTGCAGAGGCAGTTCCTGGGGAATTAACTGATGAGGAATTGTTGGAACTGGAACAGGGTCACATAGCTGCAGAATAGGCAAGAGAAAAGGAAACTGCAGAAAAATAAGAACTCTCAACAAAACTAACAGTGAAGAGTTTAACAAAAGTTTTGCAGACTTTAACACACTTCTTGAAAATCTAGACCCAACACCAAATGGTGTTTATTAATAGAAATGTTCATGGTGCATTATCTGCTTACAATCAAATTATGATGAAAAAAAGAAACATACCAACCAAACCACAATGGGCAAAACTTCTGAAAAGAGTGACACCTCCTGAAGAAGAGCCTCAGGCCGGTCCTGCAGGAGGTGTTCCAGAAGAAGGCATGTTGTCTGTCATAGGAGAGAACAGCTCCGTGCGTGTTATTGCCCCTGAAGACCCTCCAGTGGGACAAGATGCGGAGGTGGAAGACAGTAATATGAATGATCTTGACCCAATAAAAGCCTAGGCTAATGTGTGTGCTTGTGTCTTAGTTTTTAACCAGAAAGTTTAAAAAGAAAAAAAACCCTTTAAAAATAGAAAAATTATAGAATAAGGATATAAAGTAAGAAAATATTTTGTACAGTTCTATGATGTGATTGTATGTTTTTAAGGTAAGGGTTATTACAAAAGAGTCAAAATTAAACTCTTTTATAAAGTAAAAAGTTTATAGTAAATTAAGGTTAATTGATTATTAAAGAAAAAATTACTTTTTAAAGAAATTTAGTGCAGCTAAAATTACTGTATACTGCTGCATACTTTACAAACCTACGTGTACTGGGCTTGTGAAGTATATAGCAGTGGACAGTAATGTCCTAGGCCTTCGTTTGCACTTACCACTCACTCACTGACTCACCCAGAGCAACTTCTAGTCCAGCAAGCTCCATTCATGGTCAGTGCCCTATACAAATGTACCATATTGTATCTTTTATACCACATTCTTACTGTACCTTTTCTATGTTTAGATATATTTAGACATGCCAATACTTACCACTGTGTTACAATGCCTATAGTATTTGGTACAGTAACATGCTGTACAGGTTTGTAGCCTAGTAGAAATATGCCTGTACCATATAGCCTAGCTTTGTGTTAGCTGTACCATCTACAATGTTTGCACAATACAATGTTTGCACAATGGTGAAATCACTTAATGACACACTTAGAATGTATCACCATCATTATGCAACACATGGCTATATAGGTATCCATAGGCAGATTTGAGTAGTCAAAAGAATCAGTGAACTAGAAGATAGGACTATGAAAATTATTGAGGCTAAGGAACAGAAAAAAATAGATTGGAGAAAAGTGAACAGAGCCAAAGGCACCTCTAGGACATCGTCAAGAAGACCAATAGACACATCATGGGAGTCTCAGAGGCAGAAGAGAAAGGGGTACAAAGAACATTTGAAGAAATAATGGCTGAAAACACCCCCAATTTGATGAAAGACATGAATATAAACATCTAAGAAGCCGAACAAATTCCCAGTTGGATGAACTCAAAGAGACCCACACCTAGAAACATTAATCAAACTTTCCAAAGACAAAGAGAGAATCTTGAAAGCAACAGGAGAGAAGTGACTCATAACACACAAGGGCTTCTCCATAAAAAAAAATGAGCAGATTTCTTGTCAGAAACTTTAGAGGACACAATGTATTAGGTCAACATATTCAAAATACTAAAGGAAAAAAAGGATCAATCAAGAATCCTGGGACTTCCAGTCAAGATGGAGATGTAGGTAGACATGCTTCATCCCCTTGCACAACCACAAGAAGAATCACAACTAATCTCAAAATAAAAAACACCCAGAACTGCCAGAAAATCAAACCGTATGGAAGTCCGACAACCACTGATTTAGAGAGGGTGTATTCATCCAGACTGGTAGGAGGGGTGGAGACGGGAGCCAGGGCGGAGAGGGCACAGTGCAGCATGGGAATGTGTCAGTGGCAGCAGTGGTGGAACAGGCTATCCCGCATTCACATGTGGTGGATAAAAACTGGCAGGGAGACCTTGGTAGTGAGCAATTTCAACCACAGGCCAGACCATGCAGCCCAGGGTTACCATGCCAGGAACATAAAGCCTCACAACTTCTGGCTGTAAAAACCAGTCAGGGCTGGGGCAGCAGAAGAAACTGCCAGTTTCTCAGGAGAGTCCATTTAAAGGGTCCTCGTGGATCTAGAATGTACACAAACCCACCCACTCCTGGAACTACCACAAGGGCAACAGCTGGAGGGCACCAGTTGCATACAGGAAGTGGGTGAAGTGACTGGAATGGGGCAAGTAAAGCCAGTCAGTGGCACTGTCCCCTCCCCAATCCTCAACACACAGTACCACAAAGTAGTGAAGCATGTTGCACCACTTTGGAGAATAATACCTAAGGCTCTGCCCCTTACAGCTTAACAGTTTCCCTAAGTTAGAGACTCAAAGCAGCTCTACCTAATATACGGAAATAAACACTGGGAGGGTGCCAAGTTGGGGAGACAAAGAAATAAAGACCAAATGGAAGAACAGAATAAAATCCTGGGGCAGAGAAAAAAAAAAACTAAATGAAACAGATAGCCAACTTATCAGATGCAGAGTTCAAAACACTAGTGATAAAGATACTCAGAGAACTCACTGAGTATGGCAAAAACAAGGGAAGAAATGGAGGTTACACTAAGTGAAATAAGGAAAAATCCACAGGGAACTAGCAGCAAAGGGAAGGAAGCCAGGATTCAAATCAATGATTTGGAACTTAAGGAAGACAAACATTCAATCAAAACAGAATGAAGAAACAAGAATTTAAAAAAGAATGACGAGAGTATAAAAAGACTCTGGGATACTTCCAAAAGTGCCAACATCTGAATCATAAGGGTGCCACAAGAAGAGAAAGAGCAAAAAATCGAAAACTTATTTGAAAAAATTATGAAAAAATCTCCCCCAATTTGGTGAAGGATATAGACATGCAAGTTCAGGAAGCACAGAGAATCCCAAAGAAGTGAACCCAAAAAGGACCACACCAAGATATATCATAATTAAAATGCCAAAGGTTAAAGATAAACAGAGAATCTTAAAAACAGCAATAAAAAAGCAGAGAGTTACCTACAAAGGAGTTCCCATAAGACTGTCAGCTGATTTCTCAAAAGAAATTTTGCAGGCTAGAAGGGACTGGCAAGAAGTATTCCAAGTCATGAAAGGCAATCACCTACAACCAAGATTATTCTACCCAAAACGCCACCTGATTGAAAAAAATGGGGAAGGGACTTGACATTTTTCCAAAGAAGATGTGCAGATTGGCAATAAGCACAAGGTAAGACACTCAGCACCATTAATCACTTGGGAAATGCAAATCAAAACTACAATGAGATAACACCCACTAGGATGGCTACTAAAAAAAAGACAAAATAACAAGTGTTGGTAAGGATGTGAGAAAATGGAATCCTTCTGCACTGTTAGTAAGGGACTAAAGGGACTAAAAAGGTAAAATAGTACAGCTACTGTGGCAAGCAGTATGGCATGTCCTCAAAAAATTAAAAATAGAATTTTCATGTGAGGCAGCAATTCTACTTCTGAATGTATAGCAGGGTCTCGATTTATTTGTGCACCCACATTCGTGGCATTATTATTCATGTAGCAAAAATGTGGATGAAGCCATGTCCATCAGCAGATAAATGGATAAGCAAATGTACATACATTCATACAGTTAACTATTATCCAGCCTTAAAAACGAAGGACATTTTTACATGTACTGCAACCAGGATGAACGCTGAGGACATTGTGCTAGGTAAAATAAGCCAGTCACAAAAAGACAAATACAGTATTTTTCACTTATATCAGGTACTTAGAGTAGTGAAAATCATCAAGACAAAGAATAGAATGGTGGTTACCAAAGTTGGGGGGAGGGTGAAATGGAGAGTTATTAAGTGTAGTTTCCATTTTACATGATGAAAAGAGTTATGGAGATGATGATGGTGATGGTTGCACATTATGAGTGTACTTAATACTACTGATCTGTACAATTAAAAAATGCATAAGGTGGTAAATCTCATGTTATCTGTTTTTTACCACAACAGCAAAAACTTGTAGGAAAATAAAACTTCAGGAAGGAAGGTGTAGACAGAATTGGAAGTAATTTGTATGAAGGAAAATGACTAAAATTACATCCTATGAAATTTGAGTGTGACTAGAAGGGAATACACTGAGCTTTTTAGCTCTAAACTTTCTTAGGTGTGATATCTGCCTATTGTTTGGGCACTGGTATGGTCTCAAGTACTGTAAATAAACCATTTCTCATCAGTCTTTGTGGATTTTGCCTGTTCTATTTGTTCTCATTGCTACATGGCAAAAACCTTGAACTAGAAGAGAGCTGAGCATGGCCTCTTAATAGTTTTTGTAATTTGGCTTAGTTTGCTGGCAGCTTTGGCAGGCTGCTGCCTCAGTTGTTCTTATCTCTGTTATTGTTATTGTTTTTAAGCATCAGGGCCTGTGCTGTATAATACAGATGGAGTTGGGGAGGTGCCAATAAATGATTCCTGTTCTCCAGGAATAATTCCATTTTATTCCAGTTTCCTGTATCCTGTAACGCCAGACTTTGACATTCTTCAGGAGATTATTTTAGAAGCCTTCTTCTTAGCTTTGGTGAGCTCCTCACTGCTCCTATTCCTGGGCAAGAAGATTGCCAGTTTCCATAACTACAATGTCAATTCCAACCAGGTGAGAGGGCAGGCCTTTCTATTACTTCCTCTGACCCTTAAGTCTTTGTTCTCTAAACTGAGATTCCTGCTAACATGAAGACTGGATTCTTCTGTAACCAGACCAAAATTTAAACTGTAATTACCAAAGGACTTTTGAGAAGTGTAGAATGCTTAGCTATGGAGCTACCTGAATTGATACGTTATTCCCCTAGAACAGATACAGTGTAGGGATGCAAGAAGATAGCACATGGCATCATGTTGTTGAGCTAGTGGAGGTCTCTCTTAATTTTGTCTTCCTATCCACCAAATCCTCAGAAGTCAGACACACTCTGAGGTGCAGTGAGAAATGATATGGAACAGCAAAACCAGGCTACTCATATATATACTTAAGTCAATCTCCCAGAAAGAGTTGTCTTTTCTTATTTTTGGAAAATCTGCTCAGTTCAGCCCTTTCCCTAGGACTCAGAAAGGAAATCTGGAAGCATGGGGTGTCCCACTTTTAGGATACTTTAGAAGGAAGAGAGAAAACCAGTATTAAGTTCTCTCTCTCATGTGACCATGAGAAGGAGAATAAAAAGGCAAGAATCTCATTTTCTCACTTTGAAAAGAGCTTTTCTTGTGATCACTACCTAAAATGAAGTTTCATCTTAGTGTAGAAGCCAGATTTGCCATTCTTTTGTCCTTTCTAAGAATATTTCAGTGTTATTTGAAGTGATATAAACAACCTATCCTCATACATAAAAAATAGACAGCACTTGTCAGCACTCTTCAACAACTAGGCCTAAATTGTTTGCCATTTTCTTTTCAGTAAAGCTTATTTATTTATTTATTTATTTATTTTATTATTTAATTTATTGAGGTGACATTGGGCAACAAGATGACACAGGCTTCAAGTGTATGTTTCCCATTTCTTTATAGGACTTAATAGTCATCGGGCTTTGCAATGTCGTCAGCTCGTTTTTCAGATCTTGTGTGGTTACTGGTGCTGTCGTCAGCACCATTATCCAGGATAAAACTGGAGGAAGACAACAGGTATGTTGAAACACAATTTGATCTCTAACCTATAAAGATATTTATGTTTCTTTCTATATATTCATAGAAAGGAATTGCATTAGTTTAATCATGATGCTATTTTATTTTTTAATTGAATTTATTGGGTTGACATTGATTAATAAAATTATAAAGATTCAGATGTACAATATATACTGCATCACCTGTGTGTTGTATTGTGTGTTTACCACCCCGAGTCAAGTCTCCTGTCACCATTCATCTGCCCTTCTCTCTCTTCTACTTCCCTCTACTCCCCTTCCCTCTGGTAATCACCATGCTGTTGCCTGTGTCTATGAGGTTTTCTGTTTGTTTGTTTTGTTTTTTGTCTTCTTTGTTTGATCCCCTCATTTCTTTTACCCACCCCACAACCCTCCACCCCTCCGACAGCTGCCAGTCTGTTCTCTATGAGTCTATATTATTTTCTTTGTTGGTTCATTAGATTCCACATATGAGTGAAACCATATGCTACTTGTATTTCGCTTAGTATAATTGTCTCCATTTTTTTCCTTTTCAATGTTATACTTGTTGGGGAAGATCTCTTGAAAGAATCTGGATTTCATGCTTGCCTTAATTTTTGCTGAGATTTTTGTCTTAAAATTTACTCATCATTGTGGAACTTGAAAGTAATTTTCTATCGAAGTATTATTATGTGTGAGAAGCTTGTCTATTTTAGCCTATAAAAAACACACTATTTTCCATGTAACATGCCTGAGAGATAATATTGCAGGTAAACTAACCATCACCCATTCGTATTTTCTCTATGAGAGATACATTCTCAGCCCTAGTTTGAGAAAGCAACAACATAGCTCTCTGCATCCTGGCAGCCAAACTAGAAACTGTCTTGGCTTCCTCCCAGGGCTTGGCATGGGGCTCTCATGACAGAAAGTAAGGTCTTTGTCCAGGCGAGCCTAGGGAATTTATGGCCATTCTACCTTTGTGGAAGAGAAAATTATCAAAGTCAGACTCTCTTCAGGTATTCTGAATGAGTAAACTAAGTGTATGGGCAGGCGGCGGCGGGGGGCTGGGAGTGGAAAGGGAGAGGGATGGTAAAGAAGGCTCTAAAGGCCAACCCCCTTGCCTAACTGCAGGCATGAGTGCAACGCTCATGAATGTTAAACTTACTAGATCAAAGTCACAACTTTACAGCATGAGAGGTGTTCCGTTTCAGCTCTGTAGCCTTATGAAATGTCAAAGAACTGTCAGAATTGAAATTAGGGAATGGGTCAAAATTCAAAGGCAGAGAAACAGTGACAGGGGCCAGAGACAAGCTAAGGATGCAGAAGCATGGTAATCTGATGTAGCCCATGCTCAGGAACTGAAGTGTCAGAAGAAGGGGTACTAACTTTTTTTAAGTATATTTAATTGATTATGCTATTGCAATTGTCCCATTTTCCCCCCTTCACTCCCCTCCACCCTGCACACCCCCTCCCACCCACATTTCCCCACTTTAGTTCATGTCCATGGGTCATACATATAAGTTCTTTGGCTTCTACATTTCCTATATTATTCTTACCCTGCCCCTTTCTATTTTCTACCTACCATTTATACTATTTATTCTCTGTACCTTTTCCCCTTCTCTCACCCTCCCACTCCCCTGCTGATAACCCTCCATGTGATCTCCATTTCTGTGGTTCTGTTCCTGTTCTAGTTGTTTGCTCTTGTTTTTGTTTTAGGTGTGATTGTTAATACCTATGAGTTTGCTGTCATTTTACTGTACATGTTTTTTATCTTCTTTTTCTTAAATAAGTCCCTTTAACATTTCATATAACAAGGGCTCGGTGATGATGAACTCCTTGAACTTGACCTTATCTGAGAAGCACTTTATCTGCCCTTCCACTCTAAATGAAAGCTTGGATGCAATTTTGGATGGAGGTCCTTGCCTTTCGTGACTTGGAATACTTCTTTCCAGCCCCTTCTTACCTGTAAGGTCTCTTTTGAGAAATCTGCTGACAGTCTGATGGGAACTCCTTTGTAGGTTACTGTCTCCTTTTCTCTTGCTACTTCTAGGATTCTCTCCTTCATTTTAATCTTGGCTAATATAATTATGATGTGCCTTGGTGTGTTCCTTCTTGGGTCCAACTTCTTTGGGACTCTCTGAGCTTCCTGGACTTCCTAGAAGTCTATTTCCTTTGCCAGACTGGGGAAGTTGTCCTTCATTATTTGTTCAGATAACTTTTCCACTTGTTGCTCTTCCTCTTCTCCTTCTGTCACCCCTATAATTCAGATGTTGGAACGTTTGAAGATGTCCTTGAGGTTCCTAAGCCTGTCCTCATTTTTTTTGAGTTCTTGTTTGTTCATTCTTTTCTGATTGGTTGTTTTTTCCTTCTTTCTGGTCCACACTGTTGATTTGAGCCCCAGTTTCCTTCCCATCACTATTGGTTCCCTGTACATTTCCCTTTATTTCATTTAACATAGTCTTCATTTTTTCACCTAATTTGTGACTAAATCCAACCAATTCTGTGAGCATCCTGATTACCAGTGTTTTGAACTGTGCATCTGATAGGTTGGCTATCTCTTTATTGCTTAGTTGTATTTTTTCTGGAGCTTTGATCTGTTCTTTCATTTGGGCAATTTTTTTTTGTCTTGATGCACCTGTTACATAGTCAAGGGGGGAGTCTTAGGTATTCACCGGGGTGGGGTAACCCATGTCGCTTGGACACTAACTTTTAATAAGGAAAGATAAAGTGTCCCAGGCCAGGCTAAATTTGGTGAAATGTCTGGTGAAAACTAATAAAAGGCAGAATATTGAGCAAGGGCAAGAGTGTGGGTCTAAAGTAAGACCATGTCATATCAGTCTATGTGGACCGGACTTTGTCATCGTAGAGCTTCCGCCAGATGCACTGGCTTTACAGAGAAGCCCTTTTCCACTACTCATTAACAGAAAGGAGGAAGGTGGGTTATATTAGAAAGAAGGATGTTCTTTTTTTTAAAATTAATTTTATTTAGTTATTTTTCAAGTACAGTTTTTTGTCTATTTTTCCCATCCCAGCCTCCCCCACCCCTTGCTCCTCACCTCCCTCCCATTTCCACCCAGAAGGATGTTCTATGCGAGAACAAAAAACCTTTGAAGTCAGAATGAGAGGGTTTTATGATAAGAAGACGCGGAAATGACAATTCCAGGCTTTAGTTCCAAGTATATTTTGACTATAAGATACAGGGAACTAACTTTGTTGATTTACTTTGTTGAATTCAGTCTATAAGCATTACATAAAGATACAGCTGGAAAAAACTAAATTGCAGTGCAAGTAAAATTAAGTACAGAATAAGTACAATAAATTTAAAAAGCCATAAATAGTGCAAGGAGAAAGATGGAGGAAGTGGGACTTCTGCAGATTACTGAAGGACGGTTAGATGGGTACAGATGGCGGGCAGGGAGAAGGGCTTCAGTTCAGCCTGGGGCGGCTTGTGTCTGCTGGACAAATTGCCTGCCTCCAAGGCAGCCCATGGCTCTCATCCTGTTTTCTGTCGCTGCATTGTTCTCGAGTGCAGCACACTTTCCTACCAATGACATCTCTCCCTACTGTGACCCTTCATGGGAGGCACATCTCTATGGAGGCTGGTGAACCCTTTCCTGAGACCCCGATTCACCCAGTGTAAGTCATTAGTTCAAGCAGAGAATGCTGCTGGCCCCTGGCCCTACATATGGGAGTTGCCCAACCTCCACTCTGGGTTTCTGATCCGGGCCCAAAAAGGCCTCTCAGACTGGCTCAGTTTTCTTTGTCAGTGGGTGTTTTCTCTATCCCTTCTCTCTGGGGACTTTTGACTCCCTCTGCCTAAGAACACCTCTATTTTTTGAACTTCCCTTAGTAGTACAGAGAAGCTGGGGGTCTGGCTCTGAACCTCTCAGAGATGACCTGCCACCAAGAGCAGCTCTATTTTTCTGTCTGGCATAAATACAAGCTGTGTATATGTGTGTATCTGGATTTCTATTTAGTTTTTCCAGATCTAGAACCCACTTGTCTCCACTGGTTGCAGCCCTTCCAGCCATGGCCTGGGCCTGAGGTGTTGGCAGGCCCACAGCAGAAGGGCCAAGAAAAGCCCCAGGTCTGTGTCCAGCGGACTGTCTCCCGGTCCATCTTCCTGCTTATTCAGTTTTGAACATTGTGCTTCCCTGTTCTCCCTGAGTAGGTCTCTTTCCTTCTTTGTTTTCCAAGGACTGGTCTCCCTGCCTTGTCCCCATGCTCTAAGTGAGGTGTGGGATATTTATTGATTAAGGAAGTAAAATGATTGGGATTTCAGAGCTGACAGTGATGACTCTACTAGGATTTTTCTAAACTGTTCAAGGAGGGGTTAAAGTTAGGAGGGTTTTAGGAGACTTCAGGTTCATAATGAAAAGCTATGGATTCAAATAACCAACACAGTTATCAACTTTTCAGAAAGCATCTGTGTGTTCACTGAATGGCTCTGTATTTGGCATGCAGTTAGCACTTAGACAAGACCTGACAATATCATCAGTTGAACAAAAATGCACTTATGCTGATGGTTACACTCAACTCCTTTTAATAAAAACTGACATGCTTTTTACCCAGCTGAAGTCCTCAGTTGCAGGCAGGGACCAACACGCTCCTGATGGTCTCTCTCCAACCCACTGTCTCCTCAGTTTGCATCTCTGGTAGGAGCAGGTGTGATGCTGCTCCTGATGATGAAGGTGGAAGACTTTTTCTACGAACTGCCAAATGTAAGTAGAACTGATCAAATAACTAAGCCAAGAAAGCCTGATGTCCAGATTGCATCTTGGTGCGTATCTCTGAGGAGAATTGCATTCAGCTTGTCTCCAGCATCTGCCCTGGCCTGTTGTGTGTCCTCTTCCATTAAAATATAGCGTCTACCTTACAGGATTGGGAGGTAAAGAAGATATTGCATATAATATAGAGAAGAGTGTTGTGCTAATAATAAGCACTCAAGAAACATTAGTCATTATTGTTATTATTCTAATTCTCATTAATCATCTTTTAACTGTTTAAGCTATAAGTAAGCTTTACAAGTAAGGATTCAGTTAAAGATGATCAAAATAGACTTCAGATGCCAGAACGCCCATTCCAACACAGGCTTAGAAACTCACTGTACATTCATGCCATCTGGTTTCCTAAACCGTTTCCAGAAGGCCTTGTTTTGCATTCATGTGAACTCAATCTCTCTCTTGCTTCCACAGTCTCTTGGTTAGTTTACAATGCAAGGTCTGAAAGCTGAGTTATAAATGTGATTAGCTGGGATACTCCTATATACTTATGTGCCATTTCTTCCCTTTATATGAAACCGACCACCTTGCATTGAGAGATTCCAGGCGCATTAATTCATTAATAATTAATTAATCAATTTGTTCTAAGTTACAATAGAAATCAATGCTTAGAGAACATAATTTCCTTTTACATTTCTTTAATGTTCCCTTTAGCCAGTTTTTAGATCATACTAAGAGAGGTGGGAGGAGGTTTCACTCTGGTGTTGGGAGCTTGGTGACAGGCTGAGGTGGCAGCCCCTGAAGCTGGAGTGGTTGTGAACGCCACCCCCATCCTCTGGAACATGTTGATTCCACCTGGTGAATATCAGGTTGCAGCAGAGCAGGACCACCTCAAGGCTGTTGCTGCCTTCCGCCCCTGTCATTCAGGGACCTTGAAACCCAGCCACAGAGGGTATGCCTGGAGGGTGGGAATAAACCTGTGTTTATCACACAAGATGTCCTTTGATCCCCAGCAGAAGTCATCTCCAGAATTTAGTTTGTAGAGCACCTTTGGTACAATCACTCTTGGAGTCTATTTTAACAAGTCCACTCACTGATTTACTTTGAACAATGATATTTTTCTTTATTGCTGGAAGAATTAGATTTTAAAAAAATTCCAAACAAATAAAAATCTGTCAGTATTCACTGAAAGCTAATGATAAAAGTAGGGAGCACTCCTTTATTGTACATATATATGCTAGAGACAAAATAACCCCTGCTTTTGGTCACCCATGCTATGTCACATGATTTTTCTAGCATCTCGTTAGGATGTTCTGGGTGAGAAAGGTGGACACAACCTGATCAGTGGAACATTTGAATCATTGCACCAATGGGCCCTATGGGGACTCAAGATTCCTCTCTTCTTTTTTTTTTTTTAAATATTTTATTTATGTATTTTTTGAGAGAGGGGAAGGGAAGGAGAAAGAGTAGGAGAGAAATATCAATGTATGGCTGCCTCTCATGAGTCCCCTGCTGGGAACTGGCCTGCAACCCAGGCATGTGCCCTGAATGGGAATCGAACCGTGATACTCTGGTTCGCAGGCCCGCGCTCAAGCCACTGAGCTACGCCAGCCAGGGCTCCTCTCTTCTTTGAAAGACCATGAATTGCTTGTTGCAAAATCCTTATTGGAAGAATTTTTGGAGCATCCTGGCTACGATATCAATTGGTTAGCAGGGGAATCAACACAAAATTTTAAAAACATGATACAAAATAGTATATTCAATATTGCTTCAATTTGTGTGAAAAAAGTATAGAACACACTAAAATGTTAACAATGGTAATCTCTTGGATGATGAAAATTATATATAATTTGATTCTTTTTTACACATGAGCATGTCTAACCTTAATATTCAGAAAGCTAATTTTTTATTATATATTGTTTTATGAAAATATGTTTCCTCTTCCCACTTCTTCTCTCAAGCCAAAAGTCTTGCAAAAACCCTATGAAGTTGAAATTCTTTTTCTTCCCACCATGTCTCCCTGTAAACTGCAGAAAGTTTGGAGATTCTTAACTGAAAAAGACAAAAATGGGAAAGAAGTCATTTCTGCTGACTTCTTTTTCTTTAAACTAAACAATCTTTAATTCCAACAAATACAGATCTTTACAGCTTAGACATTCAGTTGGTGAAAACCTCAAAAAAGGGAAACCCTGAACAAGAGCAGATGGAAAAAGCCCATGCAATTAGTAATCAAGATCAGGGACTGACATATATATTGTTTTTTTTAATGTCAAAAGGAAATTTAATAAATGTTTTTAAATTACATACTGATCAACTTTATCTGATCAAAGCTCAGTAGATGTAAAATCAATAATAAAAGATAACTTCTGCTAATTTCATCTTTGCTCTCCCCTCCTCTAACGCTGAGTCCAACTGTTCACTGAGTGGCCTCAGAAAACCAGAGTAAGCTTGGACCCAGCCAGGCCTGGCGGGCAGGACTGGGTGGCATCAGTTCCGATTCCCGGGCAGAGTGTATGGAGGGGAGGGGGTCTAGGAAAGGACTGAGAAATGTTAAGCCAGTGCTGGAATTTCACGAACACGCGAAAGTGTTTCTTAAAGAAGGTTAGTTCTACTTTAAGGCCCTTATAATTTTTACCTCTTACGAGTATAGATTCTATTTAAAGATTTATTCATTTATTTTTTTGAGAGAGGGGAAAGGAGGGAGAAAGAGAGGGAGAGAACCGTTAACATGAGAGAGAAACGACGATCGGCTGCTTCTTACACACCCTTAACCAGGACCGAACTAAATTAATTCCCTTAATTTGTCATCCAATCTGACCAGGCATGTGCCCTGATCAGAAATCATCAAACTGGTGACCCTTTGCTGTGCAGGATGACACCCAGCCAACTGAGCCACACCAGTCAGGGCACGAGTATAGATTTTCATTTTCTTATATTTAAGAAACTTTCTATTAGAAAAGTAGACATGCTTATTTTTAAAAACTTTTAAAAAGTCATAATAGATAAAAATATCATCCACAACTACAAATAAACCATTATTAACATTTTGACATATATCTGATCAATATTATTTTATATGAATGGATGTTGCTTTGCATAGTTGTGACCTAACTGGACATACAACTTTGTATTCTTGTTTGTATTTAGTATATAGCATGATACCTCATATTATAATTTATTTAGTTATTTTTTAAAGATTTTATTTATTATTTTTATTTTTTAAGGATTTTATTTATTTTTATAGAGAGGAGAAGGAAAGAAGAGAGAGAGAGGGAGAGAAACATCAATGTGTGGTTGCCCCTCACATGGCCCCCACTGGGGACCTGGCCTACAACACAGGCATGTGCCCTGACTGGGAGCTGAACCAGCAACCCTTTGGTTTGCAGCCTGTGCTCAGTCCACTGAGCTACACCAGCCAGGGCAATTTATTTATTTTTAAAGAGAAAAAGAAAGGGAGAGAGGGAGAGAAATATCAATGTGTGGTTGTCTCTCGTGTGCCCCCTACTGGGGACCTAGCCTGCAACCCAGGCATGTATTCTGACCAGGATCAAACTGGCGATACTTTGGTTCACAGTCTGGGACTCATCCGCTGAACCACACCAGTCAGGGCAGTTATTTGTTTATTATTGGAAAATTAGATTGTCTGAATTTTTGTTCTTATAAATAACACAATGAATAATTTTGTACATCTACCCTTTTCTATAGCATAGGTTTCTAAAGTAAAACAAAATTTCTGTGTGAAAGCATATCAGTATATATCGATATATTGCCAGATTATTTTCCAAAAGGGTTGTACTGTTTCATACGCAACAACCATACATATGAGATGTTTCAACTTGCTATTTTATGGACAAAAAATGAATGGTATCTCATCGTTGAAATAATTATAGTATATCATGATTAGACTTGAATAGAAGCCCAATTGACACTATTTCAGAGTTTTTCTGAATGGAAGTTCCCTTAATTTGTCATCCAATCTGACAGTGGTTCTACACAATGTGGTAACATAGAGGTGTCAAGCAAACTAGACAAAGCAAGGCCAAGTAGCCAAAGGTGCCCTTCCCTGAGGGTCCTCCCCCACGCACCAAAAGTGACAGCATGGACACACATGGGCAAGAGGGCTGCAGTGCGTGGCGACTCTTCCTCCCGCTGTCAGAATCGAAAAGGGGCGTGGTGTGGTTTCCTGTCTGAATCAGGCCCTGGCCTCACCTTGTCAGGGAATACTTATTCGATTAGACAATGAGTTAAAGCACAAACATGATATTTTTATCAAATAACAATGCCTAATGTCTCCGAGTGGCAATGCTAACTTTTGGTGGTTCCTTTGTGAAGGTTTGGGAGTTTACCCTTGAAGGGAAAGTAAAGCAGAGTTGATCTTTTCCCTACAGGCTGTGCTGGCCGGTATTATTGTGAGCAACATCCTACCCTACCTTGAAACCATTTACTATCTCCCCAACCTGTGGAGGCAGAGCCAGTGTGACTGTGTAAGTGTAGATGCACTGGCTGAGGCAGGGGCGGGTGGGGGGAAGGTTGGACAGAGGGAAAGGGGACAAATGACGTCAACACGAAGGACACTAGCAACTCTGAGGCCTAGGACTCTACGTTTGCTTTAAACAGGGAGTCAGGTCGTTGGTTCATGGAAATAATGAGACCTCACTCCAACTATGCAAAATTAAATAAAAAGAAATTAAGCGGCCATAGTTACACACACATTTAGTATAAAGGCTTTGTCATGTACTGCATATTTGAATGACTTTCAACCCAGAGACACAAAACCTATTGAGAGAAGGAGATGTCTTGCCAGAGTAACTGATGAAGCTTCCCCCTTCTTGCTAGAGCACAGAGCTGGGGCACAGAAAGGAGAAACAGCAAGAAATAAAAGATGGGGGAGGGTAATATGATAAGAGGGGAAGGCAGTAGAGGCAGAGATACAAAAGGGGATAATTTTTGGATTCCGGTCCCTGAGGAGCTAAGAGTACATGGTCCAGGGCACAGGCAGAGCTTCTGGCTTTAGGGGGGTGAGAAAGCACTTCCGACCGAAATGGAGGAGATGGAGGCAAGTTGAGCACAGCCGCTAAGTAACAAGTGGCAGGTGGAGGGGGAAGGGAACATTTGAGGGAGCTTCAGCCTATCTTCTCTCTGAAGGGGAAAGTCAAGTCACCTGCTGAGAGTGATGGAGAAGGGCTTGAAAAGGATGCTGAAATTCCCAATAACTATTATAGATCTTAAAAAAGCAACTGCCATTTGATGAGTGTTCTGGGTTGCTTTTCAAATGGCATTTCTAATGGCTCAAGAAAGCCTATAAAGTAGATATTATTACTCCTATTTTGCACGTGAGGACACTAAAGTTTCGAGAGAGAATTGAAGACAGAAATGACCCAAGGAAGCATAAAAGAATCTCTTGGCATTTCTCTTTTGAGTCCCTTGGAACCCAGCCACTTATAATGGTATATCAGCTCACATGGCTGTTGGAATTTGTTCTCTAAATCCCAGGTGTCAGAAGGGAGAGGGAGAAGGAGAGGGTGAGCTGAGAGGTAGCACTGGTGATTTTTTTTTCATTCTGCTTCTTATCACGTTTTTTCCTTTTCCCTTCTCCTTTTCTATAAGACTATTTGGATGGTGACATTCACATCTGCAATTTTCCTGGGACTGGACATCGGACTACTTGTTTCCATAGCTTTTGCCTTCTTCTTGATCACTGTTCAGTCACACAGGTACTTAGTCTCAGGCAACAGGAGATTGGCCTTGGCAGGTGAGGCAACTATGACCTAAAGGCAAATGCATTTCCTTTCAGAACTAAGATTCTCCTCCTGGGTCAGATCCCTAACACCAACATTTACAGAAGCATCAATGACTATCGGGAGGTAAGACTCCAGACCAGCCCCACTTCTTTGCCCAAAGGGTGGGGTAGGCTGGGTCTGCTGCTTAGTTTTTCTACAAAATCCTGTTGCTGTTGTTTGCTGCACTCTAGACACGCTTGACCAAGGCTGGGAGAGGGGCACAAAATGGTTGAGGTGGGGAACTTGACGAGGTAGGTAAATTCTAGAGTCCTGCAGCCAGTTAAGAATAATTTTTAAATGTACTTTAGGGGGTGGAAGGCCCAAGTGAAAGAGAGGAGTGAGGAAGTGGAGGGGAAAAAAGAAAGCAGGAAAAGCAGGGGGTGAAAATGGGAGGAGGGAACTTGCCAGCTCTTGCCTCTTAAAATGAAGAACACAGAGTTTCCAGGAAGTTCTAAAGATTTTTCCTTACTCCATAAGAGACCTGAGTGCTTTCTCTGAACTTTACATTTGTCTTTTAGATCGTGGCCATTCCTGGGGTGAAAATCTTCCAGTGTTGCAACTCCATCACGTTTGTAAACGTGCACCACCTGAAGCACAAGCTGTTGGAAGAGGTGAGGGCTCCCCTCTCACTCTTCTCCATCAGCTCCCCTTGCCCTCCCTTGGGCCTGCTCCCGGCCACCTGCTGTCACTTGCCATCTAGTGAGAGCCCTCTTCTGTCTGTCAGATGGAGATGGTAAGGGTGCTGCTTACAGAAGAAGAAGTGTTCGGCCTGTTTCATGGAAGTGAAGACGGCTCACCGGAAGGCAAGATTTGTCGGTGCTTCTGCAACTGTGATGAGCTGGAGCCACCACCCAGGGTTAGGAGCCTCTTTTCTGCATTTCCCCCCACGTTTCTAAAGAAGTGTATGAGCAGTCAGTTGTTGTTTTAAGAAAAGAAAATCAAAGCCCCTCAGGGATTTTGACTCTTAGATGGACCATGGGTAACTGGAAATTAAAGATTTCTACTCAGAAATAAAGATACAAGTTCCCCTCTGAGGGTCAGATCTTGACCTGAAAGTAGGTAGGAGGACACGGTGATGACTCTTGACTCGCTAGTCAATGGTTAGAGACTTACTAAGTGCAGAGAGTAATCACCTAGTTGTGCCTATTTTCCAGACATTTAGCTACTTGCCTTTAGAGTTCTGAAAATATTGGGCCTTAAAAATTGTCTTATAATCCCAACTCAGACAGGGTCAAGGTGGCTGGGGTCCTCGAGGATCTACCAGGGTCTCCTGCTGTCTGCCTGTGACCAAGGAAGTGATGACGGGCTATGAATGGCCATAAGCACAGATGGGAATTTTACAGCACCTGAAGGTTATTTCAGCTGATGAACAAAGTGTTCATTATTTCTGACTCAGACTTGCTCTAAATATGCCCTTTCCCCAGGGCAGGGCTGCTCATTTCTAGCTGTGGGGCATTTAACCCAGACTACACACATACTCAGGGGGAACAGCTCTATTTACAGACATGCCCCCCACACACACACACAGATTTACACCCACACACAAACACCTCCTGTCCCAGGCAAAGAGGCCTCCTCATACAGGTCCCTGCAAACACGGAGCAGCCACCCTGGTTGTCATGCGCCCTAACAAAGTGTAGGTTCTACTGAGCTCCTTGAAAATACCAAGTTTCTTGCCAAGAGGACAGAATTAATCCTATGTCTAATTTTTATGGTTTATTCACTCTGCACTAAGTATTATCAAGGGCATTCACAGGACATCAGCAAATACACCTGAGAGTAGAATAGAATCAACTGATATTTATCAGGCTCCTACTATATGCCCAGAACTATGAGACTATGAAAGAGGAAAAAGGGTTTTTCCCAAATTGTACCACTCTAGCAAATGAATTCCTTCCATTTTTCCAAATGCCTTATAGTGCTCGTCTACATGTATTGTTAGTTATCCTTTGAATGGACACATGCCATTCCCCTGGTAGAAATGGGTCCCTGTGACTACAGAGCTGGTGCTCACATCTTGCAGGCTATTGTATTCCTGGTGCTTGATAGTGAACTTCAGGCATGGCAGGCATCCAGGCCTGTTGGAAGGATGAAGAGTGAAAGGTAAAGACATCCCTGCTCAAGTAGTTTTTTTACTTCTTAAGGAAGTTGGACAGAAGACCATCTCACTGATAAAAGAAGGTGGTGTTGAGAAAAGGAACTGATGGAAGAAATACTTCAGCATTAGAAGGCAATGGAGGTTAATTAGAACCCAGGGATGAGGGAAATGAGTCAGCTCACTAGGACCACGGTGATGTCATTGATGCATGAAGGGAAGTTGAGAGAGGAAGCTTCCGAGTGGTGAGGATAAAGCAAGATGAATGTGTTTTTTAGTCATGAGCTTGAAGGGAGAGTGAGACACCCAAGTAAAAGATGCATACACTGTGGAGAAGTTTCCTGTGGGAGAGCAAAGCGAGTTAGTAGACAGACATGGCACAGTTACACGCACTTCCAGCCCTTGTTTGAGTCTTATGGCAGCCCTCCCCTAACTCCTGTCCAGGTTGTTTACACAGAACGGTTTGAAAGTAAACGGTCCTACGATGGATCCTCCATTAACCTGATCCGCTGCACACGTTTGGACAGCAGGAATACGAGCCAAACTTCATCTGATGAGCAAGTACCGTACATAGCATCTTCCACGTTTCAGAGAAATCAAGAGCAAAATGATGAGGATGTGGAGAGAATGTGGCTTTCTAAAAACCTCTCTAGAGACAGAGCAATGCCACTTCCTGCTGCTGCTGCTGCTGAAAGCCAGGTCAGGAGCAGGTCAGCCATCCCTTATTCAGAATCATCTCTTCTACCCACCACCCACACAGTCATCCTGGATTTCTCCATGGTGCATTTTGTGGATTCATGGGCTTCAGTCATATTAAGACAGGTAAGCACTGAGGTGGCTTTAACAAAAGCTATGATCCCCACCTACCAGCACCACCCCAACCCTGACTGAATTGCATCAGTCACTGATCAGCTACTACATGGTTCCTAGGCCACTAGAAACTTGGATACTGAGATAGTTTAAGGTCAACCAGAATAAATAGAAAATGAACCAACTCTCATTTACAGAACTGGGGTTGGTTCCCTGCGTATGGCATAGTATTGCTCAAGGAATGAAAACTGGGAAACTGTTAACACCATTGGAACAGCAATCTGTGCCTCACCCAGCAACTCCCCGTCTATCCTGGGAGTTAGCTGCAAGGCTTTCCAAGGATGCTTGCTATCCTTGAATGCTACAGAAAACAAGGTCACCAAAAATTCTCCATTATTCAGCTGCTCTGAGCTACACATTATAAAAGACACTCAGATTTGCAGTTCTGAGATGACACCACAAGCCTGGAGCTGCGGTACCCATAGGGTGCCCCCAGATTCCTCTTCGCTGCTGCGTCTTTGGGTGAAAAGGGCAGGGAAGACCTTTCCTTCAAAAGCTGTGTCCCTTACGTCCTGGCTTCTCTCCACTCCCTGGTTTCTTGGACAGTTTTCATGTCTCTCTTTCTTACACAGTACAGTGGAGATGCACAACTAACCATATTGGTTTTATTGCTTGATGTCCGATAAGTACAGTATCTTTTTTGCAACTAGCTTACCCCATTTAAAGCCTGTGTCTCACTCTTGCCTCCACTGGTGATGGCTCAGGGTTAAACATTCTGAACACCCACTTCCCGGCTCTGACTACACCCACCTTTTCTTGACATATTCTTCTTTGGCTGATTTTCCATCTTTTATCCTGGTATCCTATATTATCAAACTTTCTTATTCCTAAAGGAATACTATTTTCAAAGCAGCAAGAACTCTGGTGGGTGGTCTGCAGATGTAGGCTCTGTCCTAGCTTCTGCTCACTTATTTAATAAGGTAACTTATTAAATTGCACAGGGTCTTGGTTTCCTCATCTATAAAGTGAGAGGCATGGAATAGATTAGTGTTCAGGGTCTCATCCATGAGATGCTTTTCCCCATCCTGTTTTCAGAATCAAGTATACATGATAATGTCTTGTCTTCTGGGCTTTTCCATCTTAGGTCATCCTCGTAGGCTGTGTTCTCTTCTCCCAGGCCCGTGCTCTAGTTGTTATTTCAGAATTCATTCATCCTACATTACTAAATGCCTACATGCTGAGTTGAGCACATTTATATACATGGTCCCATTTAAATCTTACACAGCCTGAGAGACAAGCCATATTTCCCCCTAAGAGTCCTGGGCTCACAATTAGTAAATGGTGTGTGCATCACCGGAACTTAAAGCAGTTGTGCCATCCCCTCCTCCTCCCTTTCCTCTCTCACCTTCTGGGCCTTGGCAGGATCCGTCCACAGCTGCCCATGCCGATGACTTCCTGCTCCAGCTCCAACATGGAGGTGCTGTCAGACACCTACCTTCTCAGCCTTCAGACGCATGGTGCACTTTTACACTTAAATACAGATTTTTTTCATTCTTTTTATAATTGTTCTTTGCCACCATATGAGAGGAAATAATTTCAAATACTATAATTGAAAACTTGAACTTAAAAAGAAAAATCCCAGTACTCATTCTTACTAGAGACAACCACTCAATTTAAACTTCTTCCCACTTCATGGAATTTCAGTTTCCCATTGCGTGTCATTTAGAGTACGTCCACTGTGGCCCTTCACCAAATGACTTCATGATTTACCATGTGATCCAGGATGACTTTGTCTCCTCTTGCAAGTAAAAGAAATAGTCTGTGTTAGTTGTTTTGTGTTTTGGTGGGGTTTTTCACATTTTTAACTTAGTGCTCAGGGTTGATCTATTCAGCCCCAGAGTATTAAGTTTAATATTGACTTGCTTTGAATTGAACTTTATTTATTGTCCCAGAGCACACATATTGGCTGAAGTAAACTTGAACTCAATATCAGATGCTCATTAATCTGATACTTCTAAATATCTGATGTTTTACTAAAGTCAAGTGCAACTTGGCAGAGCTGCTCTGAATATGCTCCTCATGGTTCCTGAGTTCCACTCCCTACTGCGTCTCATTTGACTGTCTCCGGAAGGAGGGGATCACATGCAAACACTAAGCACTAATGGCAAGAGACAGTTGTTCTTGAGGACCATCCAGTGTGTTCCCATCACACCTGTGCCTGTCTCCATCCTCGCACTGTACTCACATGACATTCTCTCTTTACGTGAACTGTTCCACCCCCCCCCCCGAGACCGCGGGCAACCTTCCGTCTCACTCTCACTCCTCACCCCGAGTGAGATGGCCTGATTCTCTTTTGTAGCCCCAGCACCTTAGACACTTCCCAGCATACAGAAGCCCACCCATCAAATGTTTACAGAGTTTTAACTGTATGTCAGGGTTCATATACCCCAGACAAGTGAGTGACCAAAGGGATTTTACAGCTCCCCTAAATAGAAGGCTCTTTCCCAGTGAGTACAAGAATCCCTAATGCCGACTTACTCCCTCCCTGCAGATGTGCAACGCCTTCCAGAACGCCAACATTCTGGTGCTCATTGCAGGGAGTCACTGTGAGTAGCATCCACCAAACTCGAGGGCTGTGTTTTGCACCTGGGTGCTCTCCTCCCCAGGCATCTGACCCTGTGTGTGTTCCGGGTTTGGTTTGTAGCCTCTGTGGTCAAGGCCTTTGAGAGGAACAACTTCTTTGATGCTGGCATCACCAAGGCCCAACTGTTCCTCACTCTCCATGACGCTGTGCTGTTTGCCTTATCACGGAAGTTTCCAGAGTCCTCCGAGTTAAGTGCAGATGAATCTGAGACAGTGATACAGGAAACCTACTCAGAAACAGAAAAGGTTGGATGATGTGAAGCATCAGGGTGAGGCGGGGTGGGGGGTGAGATCGGGAGAGACACCTGATCAGCTAGAGATGAGCACTGTCCGGGAAAGGCTTTTGAGTTTGGCTGTGCCAGACTTCGAGACGATGAAACGTTCCTTATCAGTTGGCAAACAGCAGTGGACCTCTATCGCAGATTCCCCCGCTGCCGAGGCATCTGGGTGCCATTCAGGGCCCTGTCCCAACTGAAGAGAGGGTTACCCGACCCCACAGAGACTCAGGGGCCCTTTTGCAGAAAGCTTAGTTAGTGCCAGTGCCATATCAGTGACTAAGTATTTCAAACATCTTCTCTAGCTGTGCCTTTGCAATCTACCCCCACCCCACCCTTGGGATGAATAATAAAACTAATGAACTCGCAGAGGTAAAAATCTGTCAGTGTAACATTTGGGCTACTATTTCCATTCTGAGTAACATGATTTACTCGGCCCGACCAAACGCAAAGGACAATGATATACAAGCCAAAGTTTTTAATCATTTGTTAACAATAAATAAAGACCTGGGCCCATCTCAGTGTTTTCAAATCAGTATCTTTGAAGGTTAACAGTGCCCGCCACCCCCCCAAAAAAGAAGATTAAAACACAGATGGGCACCAAAATATCACCTAATGATTAGAAATTACTTTAAATTAACCCCCAGATTTGTTGACTTACTACATTTCAATGACATTTGCATTTGTGACAAAAAAGAATGACCAGAACAGTGTTTATAGAAACTTTAGTAAGTAAAAGGCAGCCCTTCTATTTCTCTAAGTAACATACCACCAGGTACTTCCCCACCTTCGTGGAGAATCCGCACAGCTTGCGGGCCCCTGCTTGTCCAGAGTGGCTGTTTGCCCAGCAGCTCGATCTGAACATGTGTCTTCTACGTGGGCAGCCTCTACATTTACTCAGTCTTTTTAAATGTTATATTCATAGTAAGATTTTGTGGCTTTCTTCATATAGAGAAATCCTAGGTACTTTTACTTCATCTTTTACAATTTTATGGCTTTTTAAAATAAATCTTCTTTTTCATTATATTTTCTAACTGGCAACTGCTGATATATAGGAAAGCTACTGATTTTTATTAAATTATTTGGCCATTTTGTGAATCCTTTTACTAGTCCAGGAAGGTTCCACTGTTAATTCTCTTGAGTTTTCTAAATAAAAAAGATTTTCTACAAATAATATAAATATTATTTTCTAATTGTTAGAATTATTATTTTTTAAAAATATTTTTGTTTTATGCCTATTTATTTTTTTTAAGATTTAATTTATTTATCTTTATAGGGAAAGGGAAGGGGAGAGGGAGAGAAATATCAATGTATGGTTGCTTCTCGTGTGTCCCCTGCTGGGAACTGGCTTGCAACCCAGGCATGTGCCCTGACTAGGAATCGAACCGCAATCCTCTGGTTCGCAGGCCCATGCTCCATCCACTGAACTATATACCAACCAGGGCTTTAATTGTTAGAATTCTTACTTTAGTATCATATCATGGCATTAGCGAGCCCTCCCAGAACAATTTAAGTAATAATGGTGAGCCTTATCTTACTCCTGAATCTAATGAGAAAAGCTTCTTATGTCTCTCTATTAAGGATAGTGGTAATAGTTGACTTAAGATGGACACTATATTTACTATGTTTTTAAAAAGTATTTTTCTAGTTTACTAACATTTTCATCAGAACTTAAGACTTAGTATTGAAATATATCATGTTTGCTAGCATTTAAACTGGGGAAGACTAGGAAAAGGAAAATTTCCATTGCAATGCATTAAAATCAAAATCCCTATTAAACACTGAAGTGCAGATGTCAAGAATGGAAGTGGATATATGAACCAGCCAATCATGGGAGGGGTTATGACCAAAAGTCATCAGCACATATAGATAGCAATGAAAATTATGGGACTAAATAAAACTGCCTATGGGGGCTGTACAGGTGGAGGAGGGATGGGTCCCAGGGTCAAGCCTCAGGGCAAGCCAACATTCAGAAGAAGTAGAGGAGACAACAGGGAGACCGGAAAGAAGCAACCAGGAAGAAAGGAGGAAAAGCAAGAGTGTCATATGGCTGAAGAGAAGAAAATGTTTCAGAAAGGGTGAAAGGTGTTTGTTCTGTGGAATGCCGCTGCAAGGCAGCTTCCCGGAGCCTGTGGGGCATCTGCTCTGTTGCACCCTCGGTGTCTGGTACTGGGGATATCAGGAACCAGGCCCTGCTCCACCTCAAGGAGCTTAGGGTCTTAACAGGGGAGGTAGATTTGTGGATGAATAAGGCAATACATTTCTGGTGCTATGACAGAGCTGTGAGTGAGGTACAAGTGGAACACAAAGGAAGCGAAGCTGCTGGTTAGTGATCTTTGATGTGACTCTGGAACGATGAGTAAGTGTAAGTGGCTGAGAGGGAGACAGGCAAGGCAGGCCCAGGGAGCAGCATGAACAAAGGTGAGCAGTAGTCAGGCATCTCTGGTTAACTTTATGTCTAGAGCAAAGTGTGGAGATAAAGCTAAAGAAGGTGGCCAGAGGCCAGGTCGTGAAAGGGCCATACATGCCCCACTGAGGATTACATTGAGGGGTTGGAGAGACAGGATCAAGAATACAAGATGTTTGAGAATGCTGCCAAGACCATTGCTATCCACATGGTTGATCATGAAAGCCAGGCTAGTTAGAAAATCCAGAGAAATCAGGAGTTATGGATTAACTGAGCCTAAAGAATAGTGAGTGAGGAACCGGTGGGTACAAAAAGGATGAAAAGCAGATATAGGCCAGAAATATTTTCTACTTTGCCAGAAACTCATGATTTCTGGTACCTTGAGTCCTATTTGAAATTCCTTGACTATTCAAAAGTTCAATTGGAAATGTTAACCCATCAAATTGTATGTATTTCAGGATATAAATTCAAAACATAAAACAAACAGCAGTATCCTAGAAATCCCCTCAAATATGAGACATGGCTTCACCAAGATCCAAGAGCCAATAACAGAGGAGGAGTCAGAGCTAGACATGGAGCTGGAGCCCACGCTGGAGTCGGAACAACAGATGGACCTGGATCATGAGATGGAGCCTGAGTCAGAGCTGCAAACTGAGTCCGAGCTTGAGCTTGAGCCTGAGCTTGAGCCTGAGCCCAAGACCAGATCCAAGTCAATGACTCACAATTACCCTCCACAGAAGTACTGGCCTCCCAGCTCCCTGAGTCACACTCAGCCTAGGACATGGTCAGCGGACAGGAGGAGTCCACATATGAATTCATATTCATTTAAGGGCAATGACTCTGACTACCTCTAGGAGATAAAGTGGGAAAAAGGGTCAGATTCCCTTGACAAACCCTGCCACCTAAATGGGGTCACTTGGTCAGGAGCCCCAGACTAGTTACAAACTCACAGTACTTGCTTTGGAGTTCCTCCACCTGCTGTCCTCCCTTGCTCAGCAGTGTGATCACACTCCCAGTGCTAAATACCAAGAATTATCTCTGAATTCCCTCTCCAGGCTCGCCTCATTTCACCTTCAGCAGATATTCTAATGAAGGATTTCCTTCTTTGCACCGCTGGTGTTTTTTATCAGATCATCTCTAACTTACTCCTTTCAGCTGTTTTCCTTTCTCCAAAGAGATGAGGCTCAAATAAAATATATAAGTCTAGTTACATTTGGACTCTTCCTGCATTTTCTCCCTTCTCTCTGTTCTTTATGCCTAAGGCACATGTGGCAAACACGAGGCCCTTGAGCTGAATCCGGCCCTCCACCTTGCTTTATCCAGCCGGGCACCTTGTTTCTACCAGGCAGCAGCGCCAAGCTCCTTGCCACTAGTTAAGGAGTAGTTACATTTATACGGTCCTAAAATTACATTCCACCCTTTGAAGGCAACCTTGAGGGTAGTGTGAACCCCCCTCCTCGTGAAAATGAGTCTGACATCCCCAGACTAAGGAAATGGGAGGGAGAAATACCAGAAGTGGGTGGACAAGGTGGAGATAAGCAAGAAAAAGAAATTTATATTTTATATGCAAGGTATATTTACTGCACTCATAGTGGAAATGGGCAGGTTAAGTTATTAGGCCAGCCTCTGAAGCATGTAGGACAAGGAATTCTTGGGCTGAAAGCATTTTTGCCATCTCTCCAAGGTCAGTATCTTATTCCGCCACTGTTTCAGAAGGCCAAGCAGCTGTACCAATGGATGGGAAGGTTAACGCTGTAGAACTCTCTTTGGTCTTCAGATGAACATCTACCACTGCTTCTTTTTTACAGGTTTTTAAGGTATATGCAATCCAGAATCTGAGTTCTTGGTAGATCAAACTTAGTTAAAATCTATGACAGGCACGAACCCCTTAAGAACTGGAAAAGTCAACCACTACAAGCTTGATCCAAATCCATTTTAAAAATTTCCCCTTCCCCTATTAAAAAAAAATCCAGTATGAAGCTAAAACCAGAGGGGAAATAAAGATCCCTGCGTAAAGGTATATGGAATCCTGAATTTCCCACTCAATAAAATTCCTCTTGCTCAGGTACTCAATCTCTCTCATCTGTTAGATGAAAGAAATCCTCGTTAAAATGCAGGTGTCTCTTATCACAGATAGCATATGCATTCACTCAGTCTACAAACATTTACTAAGCACCTACTACAGACACAGCACCCCAAACAGTGGGGTATATAAAATGGTATTATCCCTGTTTTATACATGCATAAACTTAGGCTCAGATAAGTTTTATAACTGGCCCAAAGTCATATACAATTGCATGATAAAAGAGGCAAGGGCCCAAGTCACAAGCTTCACTTGTTCATGCTTAATCAACACATTTATTGAACTCCTACTATGTGGCATTTACTGTCCCAGATATAAGATGAACAGAACAGATGGCAAAAATAATTATAAATTGTGGTAAGTACCTTGCAGGTAAAATACAGGAGACTCCAAGGGCGTACATCAGGAGGAACTGAAACTATCTTGGGTGTCAGGAAGTTCTTCCTGTGGCAACGATTTGTGAACTGGCCTCTGAAGGATAAGTAGCAGTCAGGCTTAAAGCACGTTCCAGTGACTGCCAGGAGGGCAGAGCCAAATGGTGGACCAAGAGTGGTGACCATGGGTGAGTACAGAAGCTGGGCACCTAGCAACACAGCCATATGGAGCCTAAGAGTAATCACCATGGCACCAAAGCCTCCACCAGAAAGGGGGTCAAACCAGTAATGAACTGTCAGAGGGGAGGGCCAGGCACAGAACTGTGTCAAAACCAAGAAAACACATTTTAAATGGAAGATGGGAAAGTGCACAAAGAGCCCAGTTTTTGTGGGAAGCCATTCTCTCACTTCCACTCCCTTGTGTTCCCACATTTCTGTTGGGGGAAGGTCTTTAGACACAAAATTGATGGCTCTGGCACCTGGGCAGCAAGTGGTAGAGTTTAGAATTAGGTTCTTCATGCTACAACTGCAACATAGTTAAATCTTGGCTTTGATGCTTGACCTCAGGAAAACCAACCAGATGCTTGAATAACAGTCTATCTTTATAGAATATTCTGCTATAAGCCCACAGCATCCAGCCTCATCCAAAGTAGTAAGATAAAGAAAAATGGCTAATTGATTATTAATAGTAACTAGTAAAGTGAGTAATAATTAAAAGGCTGAGACGTCTTCCAAAATATAGATCACCCAAAATTCTAAAACATTTCAAACTTTACAAAATGCTATGCCTCAGTTGGTTAGCTACTTTTCTTTTTTCTTTTTAAATCATTTTTATTGTTACTTACAGCTGTCTCAATTTTTCCCCCTTTGGCCTCTGCTGCCCATCCCACCCCCCATTCCCATAGTCAATTCCCACACTATTGTTTGTTTCTGTGGGTCATTCATACATGTTCTTTGTCTAGTCCCCTCCCCTTCTTTCCACCATTATCCCTGTCTCCCCTGCTCTGGTCACTTTCAGTCTGATCCATGTTTCCTTGCTTGTGGTTCTATTTTGCTCATTAGTTTGTTTTGTCCATTAGATTCCTGTTATAGGTGAGTTTATATAGTATTTGTCTTTCACCACCTGGTTTATTTCACTCTGCATAATGCTCTCCAGTTCCATCCATGCTGTCGCAAAAGGTAGGAGCTCCTTCTTTCTGCTGTGTAGTATTCCATTGTGTAAATGTACCACAGTTTTTGGATCCACTTATTTACTGATGGCACTTAGGCTGTTTCCAGCACTTGGCTATTGTAAATAGCGCCAATATGAACACAGAGGTGCATAAGTTCTTTTGAATTGGTGACTCAGGATTCTTAGGGCATATTCCCAGCAGTGGAATTGCTGGGTCAAAGCAGTTCCATTTTTAGTTTTTTAAGGAAATTTCATACTGTTTTCCATGGAGGCTACACCAGTCTGCATTCCCGCCAACAGTGGACCAAAGTTTCCTTTTTTCCACAGTCTCGCCGCCAGCACTTGTTGTTTGTTAATTTGTTAATAATGGCCATTCTGACAGGTATGAGGTTGAAACCTCAATGTGGTTTTACTTTGCATCTCTCTGATGGCTACTGATGCTGAGCATCTTTTCATATGGCTATGAGCTATCTGTGTGTCCTCCTTGGAGTAGTGTCTGTTCACATCCTGTGCCCAGAAAAGTGTCTGTTCAGATTCTTTGCCCATTTTTTAATTGGATTTTTTTGTCTTCCTGGAGTGGGGTTGTGTGAGTTCTTTATATATTTTGGAAATCAAACCCTTGCCCGAGGTATAATTGGCAAATATATTTTCCAATGTGGTTGGTTTACTTTTCACTTTGATGATGGTTTCTTTAGTCATGTAGAAGCTTTTTAGTTTGATGTAGTCCCAGTTGTTTATTTTTTCTATTAATTCCCTTTGCTGTAGGAGATTTATTGCCAAAAATACTGCTGTGTGGGATACCTGAAATTATCTTGCCTATGTTTTCCTCTAGGACTTTCATGGTATCACAACTTATATGTAAGTTTTTTATGCATTTTTAGTCTATTCTGGTGTGTGGTGTAAGTTGGTGGTCTAGTTTCATTTTTTTGCATGTACCATTCCAGTTTTCCCAACACCATTTATTGAAGAGGCTATTTTTACTCCATTATATGTTCACACCCCCTTTGTCAAATATTGACCATAGAGACTTAGGTTTATTTCTGAATTTTCTACACCACATATACAAAATAAAGGGCAAAAATCACATGATCATATCAATAGATACTAGAAAAGTATTTGATAAAGTACAGCACCCATTTATGATAAAAAAAACACTCATCAAAGTGGACATAGAGGGAGCATTTCTCAATATAATGAAAGCATATACAAAAAACTTACAGTCAACATCATAATCAATGATCCAAAACTAAAACCTTTCCCACTAAGATCAGGAACAAGATAAGGGTATCTGCTCTCTTCACTCATTCAACACAGTACTACTGGAAGTTCTGGCCACAACAATCAGATGAGAAAAAGAAAAGTCATCCAAATTGGAAAGGAGGAAGTAAAATTGTCATTATTCACAGATGACATGACAGTGTACATAGAAAACCCTGTAGTCTCCACCAAAAAACTACTTGACCTATTAATGAACTTGGCAAAATAGCAGGATATAAAGTCATTATTCAGAAATTGATAGCATGTTTGTTTACCAATGATGAAATATCAGAAAGAGAAACCAAGGAAAAAATCTCACCATAGTAACAAGAAAAATAAAGTACCTAGGAATAAACTGAGTCAAGGAGGTAAAAGACCTGTACATGGAAAACTATAGAATGCTGAAGAAAGAAATTAAGGCAGATACAAATAAATGAGCACATACCATGTTCATGGATTGGAAGAATTATCATAAAAATGTCCATACTACCCAAAGTAATCTATAGATTCAATGCAATTTCCATTAAAATACCAAGTGCATATTTCACAGATCAAGAAAAAATATTTCAAAAATTTCTATGGAACAAAAAAGGACCCTGAATACCCTCAGCAATCTTACCAAAAAAAAAGAACAAAATGGGAGGGATTACAATACCTTATATCAAAATATACTACAAGGCCACTGTAATCAAAACAGTCTGGTAATGGCATAAGAAGAAACACACAGATCGATGGTTAGCTACTTTTCATAGCACTGTTATCATTAAAGCTTTTATCTCTCTATTAAGAAATTAGAGGCACGTTCTAAAGACTGAAAAGCTAGTACAGTCTGGGTCTGAAAGTATAAATTGTCTTAGCACAAATTTTTCTCTGTTAAAAAACCTCAGGGAAGCTTATATTCTATAGTAATGGGGTTTGTGGCATGCCTTTTATATGGGAAGAATTAAACAGAATCAATAGAACTGCAGA